ACAGTAGAATACCCATCGAGCACACTGAGTCAGTGCAATTCCCGGCCATTCAATGTGGTGTTATTTCCGTAGAACATAAAGGTACAAAATATAGATCTCTGTGTTACGCATGTTGGCGCAGATGCTCCTTCTTGCAAGTAAATGGGTGGCTACATCTATGGAATATATACAGTGTGTCCACGGATTGAGTACACATAAGATGTATATGACAATTTTTTTTAGTAGGGCCTTCATCTTCTGAGGATCGCTCCTGCTTAGTCTCAAACTAAGATATTAAAAAAAATGAATCACATCAATTAATATCCTGATTAATATGCAGGGTGTTTTTTTCCGAATTCTAAAAATTAGTCAGGAGTAAACTGTCCTAATTTGAGCAGATGTGTCAAAAATATATTTAATAAAGTTGTTAAGAATTAAAAGTTATGGAAGACTTTCAATTTTCATACAAACCAGCCTACTTTAATTTTTTTCATAAAAAAAACGAGAAAACAATTTTAAAAATCAGTAAATCGTTTAAAAAACAATCACGTCATAGACATGACAGACAGACATGTCAGCTTGACAGATATGGTAGACCTTCAATTCTTATACAAATCAGTCTGCTTGATTTTTATTACTAATTACATAGTTCAAAAGTATTGAATGCTGTCGAAAAAATCAAAATAGGCTGATTTGTATGAAAATTTAAGGTCTTCCAAAACTTTTAATTCGAAACAACTTTTTTTTACATTTTTGTTACATCTGCTAAAATAAAGTTTACGCTTGACTGATTTTTAAAATTTGCCAAAAAACGCCCTGTATATTAATTGATTTGGCTCATCTTTTTCATTATCTTAGTTTGAGAACAAGTAGGAGCAGAACATGAAGACCCAACTCTAAAAAAATTTGTCATATATACCTTTGGATATATTGTACATATACCGGGTGAATATTCTAAAACCAAACATAGGGAATTAACATGGGAAAAAGGTTTTTTGCAGGTTTATAATGACACCAATCGAAAGAAGATTTTTTCTCATCTAATGATATAAGAATTAGTGCATTTTCAGGTGTATTTCTCATTATTTTATCAAAAATTCGACAATAAATCATAAATCCAATTACCAAAATCATGGTAAGACAAAAAACAGATTCAAACGTTATTCGGAAATAGCGGAAATAGTTGCTCTAGTACGCGATATTTGTTTTCCGTGCATTTTAATGAGCATTTCGTCTGTGTCAAAAGCTCTTTCAATTCTGTAGAAAATTTCCATGGCTAACATGATTTTTCTAATGGAATTTATTGCCGAATTTTTGATAAAATAATGAGAAATACAACTGAAAATGAACTAATTTATATATGATACTAATTCATACCTATTAAAATGTTAATTAACGTCTGCTATAAAATAAAACAATTTAATCCAATACTAATGTTTTCCTTTTTATTATAGGTACCTAATACGACACAAAGCTCACGATCAAACAGCACAATTGAAGTTTTAACCCAGAAATCCATTTTTACCGAAAATCTACCAAAAAAGTTCCAAAATTGACTGGAACACTTTCTAGTAGATTTTAACCTGTAGAATCTATGAATCTAAAGATTATTTTTACAAAAACGCCCTTACGAAAGTCTACCGGAAAGATAGTGGTTGCAGACCAACCGGAAATGGCAATATGTAATAGATTTTTGCCTCTAGAACTCATAGACGAAGAAATTTTCACGTTCCCATGGATATATCAAAAGAATAAGTCAAAAATCGATATTTATAAAAAATAAAGGATTGAGTTGTTGCAGGCCGATATTTTCTAGTATAATATGAAGTATGAAGCAATTTTAATCCGAAACCAGATCTTTTACAAAGGTAAACGATGAGTTAGTATCGCAAGTCTATGTTTGCAACAGATCATTCTCTAGAATAGAATTTGTTATACTGCAACTCTGTACTTTCATATCCTATTTACGTTCTAAAATATGAATATCAAATTTAAACTCAAATTAAACATGATATTTCATAACCGTGTCGTACAACAGTTGGTCTTATTGTGAGAAACTCCGACGAAAAGCATCTGCAAAATGATGTCTAATTATGACGTTTAAAAAGCGTCATTTTTCATCACTAGTCTTTTTATAACTCACAATTAACCAAACTATTCATTTGCAAACATTTTCATTTGGTTACCTTCGTCACGTCAATTAGTTGTGAAGATGCAATTTAAAGTGTCGATAATAAAAAAAACGTTTACAAATTATAAAAGGTATAATTTCGTAGTAAGGGCTTATTACCACAATTCACGAACCGCCTACGTATCGGTGCATGCGGTTAGAGTGGTTTTTCTCATTACTTAGCTCGTACCTAGAAAATTACGTCGAGGTAACTACTTTAAATGATTGCCAATATTCGACGTACGTAGGTAAAACCAGAAAATCGTTCCTACAACATGCATAATATGCAATACCGAAAGGAAGAATCTTAGCGCCACAATTATTAATTTTCTATCGACTAAGTACGTTGTCGTTATTAAAGTCGTTGTACTTATTAATTCGTATCAATTTTCATTAATCTTTGAATGGCATTCGTTAAGATAAATAATATATTTTAAAAGCTAAGTGTATTTGAAGTGTAACATGCACGTATAAGACCCCAAAGCGGTTTGGAATGAATAGTGCCATGCATCACCGAAACCCTTCTAACGTCTACGGCACTCACTCGTTTCACGAAAAATGCAATGTCCATCCCAATAGCGGTCCAGTTTAATTTTCCTCGGTCATCTCTGTAATTTGTCCGATATTCCAAACCCTTTGAAGGGGAATTTCCAATTGAATGTAAGCTGCTAACGAAATTTCGCAAATGCATACGTTATATATAGAGTGTACGCATCCCCATCATATATTAATTAATCATTTTCGTGAATTCCGCCTCATCTCGGGCGCATTAGAAAACTTTGTACTTAATTACGGCTTAACCAGTAAAAGCGTTTTATGAAACTAAGAAACTAATCGAACAGGATACATAAAATTTTTTATATCTCTCAACATAAATTTTAATGTTGTCTGGATACTTTAAGAGCACTTAAGATGTTTTCTTGATTAAAAAGAATGCAATCAAAAGGAAAAGCTTGTCAAAGCGGAATGATTTGTACATTGAAAATTAGTACAAACAATAAATGATTTTAAAAGAAATTTCGATGCTATTGGAATTGAATACAAAATTTCGGAAATGTTGATTACGTGACCTTTCGGATAAATGACAAAATTTTAGGGGTAAAACATTGGATGAATACGTAACAACGCGTATACGGCATTATTGGACATTAGGTAAAAGCGACACATTCACGAAACAAGCCGGTTACCATCTGTGGATTGCGAAAACGCTTTGGGCTTCCACTTATTATCCCTTTTCTACGTCCTTTTTATCATCTGACGCCTTCGTTACGCACCTTTTCTAAAATTTATGGATGAAATTTACGATTGTTTCTTTGACGCCCGTTTTTGTGTCTTAATTTAATTAAAAATGTTGTTTCTCATTAATGAAGAGCCTCCAAAATGGAAAATCCATCGATATATTTAAATGCAAATGGAGTTTATCATCCCCCTTCAATCATTCCCTTTTGTTATTTAAATACGGACACGTCAAGCAACAGAAAATATTCAACTATCCTTAAATCGTATGGGGTCAAATATTGAGGCTTGTTTTTAATTAGATGGGGCTTTGTTTCCGCATCGGAGCGATTAAAAATGATGCCTGAACATAAGTTACTTGGAAAAGCGTGCAACAAACATTTCCTCCATTTAATTTGAAGCCAGAAAGCGAAACTTGAGAGCTTTAAAGTGCAGTGGAAGTCGACACTACAGATAAATTTATACAAGATCGACCTCGGTAACCATAGACATGTATAATATGATGCGTCTGTTGTAGGTTCTATTCATTATACCTTATAAAGCCCTCTAATTTTAAAAATTAGCTGGAATTTAAACCCTTCCAAACTTCAGGTCAGAAACTTCCTTTCAGCATCGCAATATGCACTATTTTTAAATCCTCAAATGTTGCCAATCAAGGTAAATTAACATAAACTGTAATTTGGTATTGGAGACCGTCCTCATGGGGGTCAGTATACAGTATACACAAATTTTAAAAAAAACAAATACAATAAAATGCATAGCCATATACTTTTCATCAACCAGTCGTGTAGCGAGTTTCAACAAATTAATATTGCTGAAAACAAATTTTGTGATGTGGACCAGCGAAAGAAAGCTATTTTCAATACAACACGAAAAACATTAAAAGACTGAACAGTAAAGCTGGCATATTTATTGTAAAGTAATATGCAAAATATGCAAATGTAAATGTAATATATTAAACCTTTCAAAAGATTTGCGAACAAAGTGGCCGGCTACAATTTCCGCATTTGTCGTTGATTCCGGTACAATTTTTTACGTCTCAATCTTCATTATTGGTTCAGAAATTTCTAATGAACCCGCACGCATTAGAAATCCAAATAATCAACTTTAAAAGGAACCCTTATAACGCAAAATCACGTTCGCGTAAAAAGGACTCGCTAAAAACTAGCCTGAGGGTTTAAATTTCCTGCCTTGTATTTACACATAAATATCCCAATTGAATTTTCGAGCGAACTTCGGGAAATCTAAAATCTGTTTACAATTTTTTTTCCCTTAAGCAGCTCCGAACAACCTGACGTCTTTATTATTTCCGGTTGACCGCTTGCTTCTTATAGATGGGGGTCGTAGGGATTTCTAGTTAAAGGGCTAATATTAGTACTCCTTAATTATGATTCTTGTCTTAATGGTGCAAGTCGGCGGCCCCTTGTGGCTCACACTTTGGAACACCAAAAGGGACAAGAATGGTAATTACAAACGCGGTTACAATAATCTCGATTTAGTTGCAAAACTATAAAGGGGTTAATCTCAGCTGTTACATCTGTTATAGGGCATGTTAAACGCCTTTACTTAAAAAACGGCTTTGCACGTTTGGTAATACCTTTTTTCTTTGTTACAGCAAATCTGGCCGATACACAAGCAGATTTAGCCCTTTACATCGGACTTACGGTTGCAATATTTCTTGTGACTTTGTTATCCTTCTTTCTTGTGAGATTTTATCGTAAAAAGGGACATCATCAATCCTTGTATAATATGGCAGCTAACGGTAAGTACACAACACCGATAAATTTTTTACACGCCAATTCTGTTTGTTTAATAATCATTTTTCCCTGGAAACATCAAAGCGCCAAGAGGAAAGTGCATTTATAAGAGAAACCTCATAAATAATTCGATCCCCATTACCAGAAGCTCACGCTTAACAATTTGCTAATTTCTTCATAAATATCACTGCACAATTAGCAAACAGAAATGTCATCAATTTCGGCAATGATAAATGCACTTCGCGGTAGTAATTCATCACATCAACCTGACAACAGTTATTTACAACCCTCAAAGCCAAAGTAGCACTATTGGGCGCGTAAGCAACGAAAATAATTTTTTTCTCTAAAAAACGGTTTGAAAATAATTTAAATTTAGGGTCGTGCGCTTTTAAATGACTCTTACGTTACATTTTAGACATGTTGAAGATTAATGATGTGTCTTAACTTTACAAGATGATTTTATGGCGTATTACAGCTAAAGGAGAAGACGATTCACATGTTGAAAAATTTCTTTATATAGTACGTTTATACGAACACATGCTCCTTTCTAAATATAACCTTTGTATTCCATTTTCATTAAAATGCTTTTTAACACTTTAAAATAAGACAGTTTCAATAGTTCTAATGATCAAAACTATCCGGTGCCAACTAATTTGATCTACTGTATTCTACAAAATAAATACATTGGTTTCATGGGGTACGGTGTGAACTGAAAATATCATGTAGTTTTACTGTGAAAACCGAGGTGAAAACGAAAGTTGGAAAATTTAGGGTTAACAGTGTACTGAACGATAATTTCGTATTTCCAATTGAAAATCACGTATAGCGTTAGGGCAAATGATATAGGCCTTCGCAACTATCAATTAGTGAAAACGTATACATTTGCTATAGATTCAAAAGTAAGCACTCAGTAGATAAGAAGGGCTATTTCGTAGTAAAGATGTGCAAGAGAAAGGAAATCAATGAGTAGGTAACAAAAACTAATTACCTTATACGATATAGGAGAGACAGTACCAAAATTATGTTCGAATAAATTGGAAATACGAAAAACTGTTGGAAAGGGCTTTGAGTTAGTGTATTATGTGACATTATAACTAAGCGAATATCCATAGAAGCACAAATGAGCAAAACTGGATTGTATAGAGAAATTGACCAACTGTTCTGTTTTTATTCCAATTATCCTTCTTAAACGAGAAAACGAGGTAAGTCACAAACTAAAAATGATCCCATTTTAAGGTAATTTCCGAAATGACGATTATCGATTCGTCAGAATTCAAAATATTTCATTTCCGGCGAGCACGAATTCTAGTGTTACCTAAGACACTTAAAAGCCGAGTGTCAGATTTGATTTTAAACCCTCTGGAATTACAATCCTGTTTCAATGCAAAATCGAGGATTTACGAAACGTGTTTTCATTTTAGAGCTTATGACTCCGGGTGCGTTTACTACAGTACTTTGATTTTTCATTATTTTAATACTTTGCCATAGTTAAAGGGCCATGTACTCATTTATTGTGATGGATTAACGTAGTATTATGTACGTGACGCAGTTCATTGTAATATCTCAAAAAAGGAATTTTGTAAAATATCGCTACGTAGCCGAAACTTGTCGATTCCACTTTAGCTAATTATCACTCAAAGCTTGCTCTAAGCACCTAAAATGTACGCATTGCATGTTTACATTTTTCCCTGAGAACTGAGACCTACCATCAGAGCTGGGCAGTATTCGATTTTGTAAATACTTTTTAGTATTCAAATCCTTTAAAGTATACAAATACTTGGTAATTAAATACTTTTATGGAAGCAGTATTTTATTTATTTATTTATTTATTTATTTATACTTTATTAGATAATATTTACAAAGAAATTCTTATCTAAGAGGGTATTTGTAACTCAAATACTTTCACAAATATTTAGTATTCGAATACTTCGCAAGGTATTTGAATACTTACCCTTCCTTTTTTACCAAAAATCGACTGCACCAAAATTTCTCGGGAAAAGACTTTTTCTTATTAATTTTGGTGCGTAGAATCCAAAACAATTCGTACTTTTTCGATCAGACTTCTCAATCAAAAGTTATAGACTAGAAACCAATTTCGAAAGAAAATTCAAATGGCTGTAACTTTTGAACTAGTAGCCCAATCTTGGAACTGTTTGAAATTATGGATTCTACAGGCCACATTCTATAAGAAAATTGTTTTTCCGGGTCGATCTGAGACAATTTTTTTTCGGGGCTCAAAAAAAGGCAGTGTATAACCTTCCTTTTTACCAAAAATCGACTGCACCAAAATTTCTCGGGAAAACACTTTTTCTTATTAATTTTGGTGCGTAGAATCCATAACAATTCGTACTTTTTCGATCAGACTTCTCAATCAAAAGTTATAGACTAGAAACCAATTTCGAAAGAAAATTCAAAGGGCTGTAACTTTTGAAGTAGTAGCCCAAACTTGGAACTGTTTGCAATTATGGATTCTACGGGCCAAATTCTATAAGAAAATGTTTTCTCGATCGATATCAGACAATTTTTTTTCCGGCCTCAAAAAAAGGCAGTACTTTTAAGTCATTCAAATATTTGAGAACAATTTAGAAATGTTTAGGGAAAGTTTCCATTGTCACAAAATCAAATATAAAAATCCGATACATCTGAATACCGAACTCGATAGTCTACGTAACTTAAAAAACAATAGGGACCTTTCTTATATCCTTAAGACCATTTTCAAAGCGATCGCACGTTTCTAAACAAGTTATCATGCACACGGACAAACGGATGGTCAAAAATGGATCTGTTCCAAAATCGCTAGGATTAATTTCAGAAAGGCGTACGTATCATGTGCACGACGTACGATCGCTTTGAAAACTGGTACAACACGTATTCTTAAGGATATAACTGGTATAAGAAAGGTCCTGGTAGGTACCTCCTATATAATAATATAATAATAATATTACGCTTTTACTCCCCTTAAATTTGTATATAACAATAGAAATATAAAAAAAAGCTAACCCCATACAAAGTATAACTTGATTTTTTAAGTAGTATTAAGCCTTTTATCTAGTATACTATTTTAAATTTTTAATGTATTTGAGTGACAAGTATTTGAATACTTTTTACTGTATTCGAATACTTTTCAAAGTAAGATAATGAAATACTTTTCAAAGTATTCGAATACTTTTTATAGTATTCGAATACATTCTAAAGTATTTGAATGCTTATTTTTTTAAGTATTTGATTACTTTTCAATGTATCTGTATCTAGTATTCGCTTGTGCTGGACGTAAAAGTATTTAGTATTCAAATACCTTTGATTTGTGTAAAGTATTTACTATTTAGTATTCAAATACTTTTTGAAAGTATTCTACTCAGCTCTGCCTACCATTCAGGTGCTCTCGACTTGTGAAGCAAGTGGAATTGTTCAAAAATTCAAGATGTGAGAACAAGGCCGATTGTTTTAGACCCAGGGAGTGGAGAAAACGGATTTCATCCCAAAAATAAAATGACCGTTGTACAATGTTGCGATAGTTACCCTCTAACCAAGAAACAATATGTACTTAGTAAGTGACAAGGAGAACCTTTGCTTACATTTTCTCCACATTCTTCACGATGTAGATAAATATGCTTAGAAGCAACATCCATCAATAATAGTCTGTATATGCTTTAAAATTGTTCGGTGTCATTTCCGTAACCGCGCACGAATTAGGAAAACAACTCAGATTTCAACCTTTTTGTTTGCCTAAAACGATTTGATTGATATAGATTGATTGCAGAAAGATTGAAGCTGACAAGAGCAAAGATGAATTGTAGTAGGGCTTTCCTTTCAGCGGAGTCTAGTGAAATGCCAATTAAAATAATTTCGAAATTTTTTTCGCGTGACTTACAGTTTCCTGCCCAATGCGGAACTGAAACCTATTATTAATCGCCGAACTAATGGAAAGGACCAAATATTAATAGTTTGCCCCAATTAGTGTTGTACGAAGGTATGATATATGATTCGAATAAAATCTGAAACATTTTAGTAATGCCATCAGTCGCTCGCTTTAATGTCCAATTCGTGGTGAGCCATATGTTTTCCATTTAGAGATTCGTAAACCTCAAGAATAATTTTAATTGGGCAACGTTTATTAATCATAACCTTATAATTAGGTAAATTCGAAAAATTGTAGCTCGCATACACGCATTTGTCATTTACATTATTATTTATATCGCGGCTCATTTATTTCTGTATGTGAAATTATTTAAATGCTTAATTTGAGCCCTAATGACTCCTTATATTAGCAGATGTTGGGATAGCTTTTTCACTATGCGCGCACTCCTTCCGTTTATTAATTGTCGGTGAACATTACTCAACCGAATTATACCGATAAACGTGGAATACTAATTGCTGTTTTTTTCTCGTTTTCAGAATACCACCCAGAGTTCTTTCCGGAGCACGACAAAAAATCCCTATCGCTGCAGCCAGATTTGACGCAGACAGTGCCCCCTTGCTACGAGTACCCATATACTACCCCTGCTACCTCAGTTACGCGTTCTGTATCAGAACATCATTACGATGTACCCCATTTAACATCTGCGAGTGATATACAGATGTCACCAGCGACAAGTTCGACGCTGGAGTCGTCGAGTGGGAAAAGGAGCCAATTGAGTGGTCTCACTAATAACTGTAAGTATAGGCGTTGGGAGAAAATGGGAATTTGACGTATTAATTCCTCCATTTGGTCAGATGGGTATAATTTTTAAGTAAAGTATCCAAGGTAAAACGTACTTTTAATTACTTTACTTAGTTCCTAATTAATATGATTCGAACCGTTGGAAAAAGGGCTCAGCTCAGTGGTGGATTCAGCAGGGGGCAAAGCCGACACACCCAAAAAGGCTTGGAGAAAAGGTAAAAAGCACCCTTTTAAAAGTTTAGGCAACGTAATTTACAGTATTTCCATTACATTCCCTACTTTCTATCTTTCTAAAAATGTGCACTACGTACAAGCTGTTCTCCGTCACCGTAATTGGGAGGTGCATCTTTGCGACCGAAGTTAAAAGTTCAGAATGTGCAGTCCTTGAAAAGTTTTCCTGGATCCGCCACTGAAGTAGCTTCTATTACCACATCTTACAATGGTCTTGAAGAGACATATGTATATCTGAAGAACAAGAAATTTGTGATTCCCCAGATTCGCGATGGTATTAGATGCACTGATTTGCAAATATGAGCTTGCAGTCTTCACCAACGGACCCTCATGAATAATTCAGAAATAACATGATTCAAAAGCGGAACCCCTTGAGACGCCAGATCCTTAAGAAAGAGTCCTGGATTGTTTTTTTATGAGTCACGCAGCCATGATTCTTTCTTCCGTAATAATCACAGTCAATAGAATATACATCTTCAGCATGTTCTAGAGAAATTAATGTTCAAATATTGGGTTCTCTAATTATTTTAAAAGCAAAATTGTATTTAAGGCTCTTGTAGACAGCAAAATCACACGTCCCTGCATATCGCCACCTTTCATTTTTCATATACAAGAAGAGAAAAAAGGATTATAGAAAAATCAACCCTTCCTTTTCAGTTAGAATTTTAGGAAAATTGAAGAGCATGCAAATGTACAGATTCAGAATTTTTTCTCACAAAGAACCTAAAATAACTAGGTAAATCCAAAAAAGTTCTCTAATAGCTCTCGTAATTGTTTTATGGGACCTACAAAATGATTGTAGCTTTTAGATTAGTTTATAAATGTCACAATAAAATAAAAGTGTTGGATAATTAATTGAGAATGAATTTTACACTTAGCTTTATATAGTCGAAGCATGAAATTGTTAAAAGTTGTATGTTGTAAAACATGTTATAATAACAATTTTAATTTCCTCCTTTCACAATATTTTTAATATTTTAATATCCTTATATATGTTCACATTAGAGTCGTATAGAATAAATTGATTATGTCTGGTGTTTACAATCATAATAAACATTAATATAGAAATAATGTTAATAACACAACACTTAAGTTTATTGTACATAAAAAAATAATGAAAAATATAACTACGAAATAAATATGATGTTCCTGCATTTATGGATACCAAACCTCTCTGTAAGGCATGCTGAGAAAAGTCAAGTACAAAACATGTCAAAATATGTATTGTAAATTAAACGGTCAACTGTAACTACTAGAAATTGGAAATGAAGTCAGTTTATATACAGAGAAAGAATAAAATGCAATTCTTTGGTTGGAATTGAAATTAAGCCCTTTCATGCCAAAAGTAATAAAGTTTAAAGCGGAAAAATGAAAATGTGATTTCAATTACATTTTATGAGTTGTGATTGCAAAGGTATTTTACTGTTAAACGAATTAAAGTTTACAATGTAATAATGTGTATTACCTTAAATACGAATGCGTTTCAATCTGTTATGTTGGATCAATAGTTCGCGTAAACTAATTAAAAACTGTAGTAATTTCTTGTTATTCGCAAGGCCCTTTAATTTTCCCGCTTCAAATTTAAATTTCACATCACTTTTAAGTAGTAATCTGTAAATTATTTCGAATATCTCTAATATCAAACTGAAATCTGTTTCAGCCGATTCAACCTACGAAGTAGCGACGGAATCTGTAACGCTACCGCTTCCTGCGTTACCGGCAGCTTACGCCGTCACCCCGGCGACGTCAGGAAACTATACGAGCGCCACAGTGACGCACATCGGCGCCTATCTGAACCTACCCGAAAGCTGCGTCAGTCTCCTAATCCCAGATGGCGCCGTTTCAAGAACGCGAAAGCACGACATATTTCTGTCAATACTGAACGAAGACTGTTTTCGACCAAAACTTGCCGAAAATATTACGCAACTTAGCCCGGTCGTCTCTTGCGGCCCTAATATTACAATAAACAAGGCTGTCGTATTAAAGTTACCCCATTGCGCCGACTTGGCAATGCACAATTGGTCAATTTCGATCCTCCAAAGTGATTGCAGTGACTCTCAATGGCAAACGGCGGTTACGTTGGGACAAGAAACGATTAATACTGAAGTCTTCTGTCAATTAGATAACGACGCCCTTTATTTAGTTACCGATTCCCTTTCGCGATACGTCGCTGTTGGCCATTCCGTCAACGGATTTGCGGTTAAGCGACTGAAGCTCGCAGTATTCGCCCCTAAGTTATGTTTTCAATCCTCAGCCGATTATAGTGTGAGAGTGTACGTTCTTGAAGACACGGATAGCTCGATGGAGACCGTTTTCGGGCAAGAAAAGAGATTGGGTGGTTTTCTCATGGACGAACCGCGCGTTATTCACCTGCAGGACGGCGGAAATAATCTCTGTTTAACTGTGGAGGGCATAAGCGAGGGTTGGAAGGCGAAACCGAGCTCGGACTACCAAGAGATTCCCTTCCGCCATTTGTGGCAAGCCAACAGTAACAGCTTGCACTGTTCCTTCACTCTAGAAGCCTACGAAATGAACCCCAACTTGAGCTTCACCATCATTGTTAACCAAAAGGGCTTTAATAACCACCAAACCTTTCGTGTGTCCTGTAAGGACGACAACAATTTCACGCATAGGACCAGTTCTCCATTTGTGCCAAAAATCGTAATACCGACTGACTCGCCTCGTTCGACCGTCGAATCGAATAAGTCGTCCAAGCATGACGATCACACGAATACCCCTAAAAGTGCCAAAAGTTTTAAATTAGCGACGCAAGACGATGCGGTTTCGTCGAAGCTGGCGAAAAACTTGATTCTGACCGACAGAGGCGTTTCAACCTGCGATGACTTCTCATTTAGGCTAAACCGGCAGGTGAAGAAGCACATATGTCAGTGCTTAGATCCCCCAAATGCAAGGGGCAACGACTGGCGCATGCTGGCGCACGCTTTATCTGTTGATAGGTATATTAATTATTTTGCAACTAAGCCTTCGCCTACTGAATGTATATTAGATCTATGGGAGGCGAGGAATAGGCAGAGTAACGCGTTGACTGAACTGGTTAAAATTTTTAGGGATATGGAGAGATACGATGCAGCTTCTATTTTAGATAATAGCTTAGGTCCCAACTGGTTATAAATAATTATTTTGTGATTAGCTTGTAAGTGTTTTGTTATTTGTATATATGCATAAAAGTAAAAGAGGTACGAGTTGATGCAGGATGTTGTTTAACATGATGATGTTTGTTATATTTGTAACTCTGTGATCCACGCCAGAAGAGCAATTCGAATGTGATGTTGCTAAAAATATTTAAGGAGAGAAGATGTTCTAGACTGTTCACTTTCATCTTAGCACACAACTCACTTTGACCACTGCATCATTATTATTATTTTCCCATGGTCGCCGTTGGCGATGGAGACGACAGTTAATTTTGGACGAGTCGCTCTTCTGTAATGGCCTACAGAGAAGTTATGTGAAATTGTTTAATTTTTGAATAGGGGACCACGGGACCTTTAGAAATCGTGCAATTCGTGGTTTCAATGGAAACAGGAACACTTGTTATATAAGGCACTTAATATGCTACTGTAACTATTGATGTATTATATAAAAGTAGAATTATTAATGAAGATGCGGCATTTATTAAACGAAAAACCACACGTACTAAATGTAAATGTAGAGTTTTATACAAGATAAATCAAAAGTAGTTTTTTTAGAAATATATATAGACTATTTGTACAGACTATATTATTATATAAGTTGCGAATAGACGGAGTTTTTACGTTGAAAATGTACGATGTATTTTAGAAATATATTTAAACGTGTATATAGTGTCAAACAAAAAAATACAATGCCATTTTTTATAACGAGGTTTTATTTTTACATTCCTTTTATTACAGTATAGATAAAATTGAGTACGCTCGGAAGAACCCTAACGGCAATGTTGGCAATATGACAGGCCATAAAATAACTGTATGTCCATCTAGAGATCTAATAGAATTGAGATCGCCACCTTCGATATTAAAGTCCCCAAGGATTCGCTTTCCTCCACTTTATAAGTCTATTTAGTTAGTATGAAGCTTAAAAGGTTTAAAATAAAATAAAGGTGAAATTCAATTTTCGCCCGATTTAGAATGATAAATTAAAAATGTTAGCCGACGGCCTCTTCTTTTTAGATGATAAATTTTGCTGGAAGAGCTAGTAGCTTGCGGTAGAAATCAACTTCAAGTTATTCCGTAATTTATTGCTGACCGAGGGGACGCGCCATAATCACGAATGGTAAAAAAGATAACACAATCCGATTTTCTTCGACGCTTCGCCGTTCAGTTTCAGTATGTTGAGAATTGTGGCTGTGTGCCAATGTCGTGCAAGACACAAATATCTCTTTTGAGAATTTTAAATTGAGATGTTAATTGCACAAGAATATAAGACGTTCACTGTGTAGAATTTGCACGCAAAATTAAACAGTTAATTAATTATTATTGACCGAAACTTGACCTACAGTACAGCCGATTTTCTCTAAGTACTTATAAATAGTATAAATAAAAATGCAGTAAGTAATGATGAAGGCGAAAGCTGTCGTGCCTTATGGTTGTGCTGAAATCGGTATGCCTACAAGTTTTCAAAATTACCATATCCTCGATAAATAATATAGAAAAATGATTCAATTATACGTAACCATATAGCTTATTAAAGGTTAATAACTATTACATTAACCTAACTAACTCTAAAAAAAGTTTGTCTAGTATTTGTGCGATTTCTTTGTTTTTCTTTGTATGTACTTCCATTCTCCGCCATATTCAGTTACGCTATATGATTATGATTTAAATTGGTTTGGAAGTCAACTTTTATTATTCTTCTTTGCTAATTTTATTAACCATCGATTACAGCGAATATTAAACCTTTTTTCTTATACCATATATCTTGTTGTTGAATACGATCTGTAATGCCTTTTGGGCAACTAGTTCCATCAGTAACTCCAGTCCACAAACTGGCCCAAAACATAGAGGTTAATATCACATTTAATATAGATAATTTAGAATTATTATTATCCTTGGCTTAGTTCCATTATTTCATTATTGTTACCATTCCATAGTGATACCTTCTCTGTTATATGGACATAAAGGCATTAGCTGGCACCTGTTTCTTTGCAGATGACCAAGATATTTCCTTCCGCCCTCTCATTTCTTGGGATCCCCTTAGAATCGCACTTCATTATTCCTACTTTGATCTCTTCCTATGACAGAGATCATGTGCCCACTGCTACCACCTTCCTAATGATCTTAATTGGTATTATATGATTGACATTATTTCGTAAAAGATTAATATATCTAAGAGTCAAAGTGCGTAGGCGTGATATAAGGCCAACTTAAGGAAAGAACTACAGTCGCCATAAACAAAATTTGCATTCTTTTGCAAATGATAGCCGATTTCGTAATTTGGGCAGTCTGATATATAACCATAGTCATAAATGGTTGTTTTTTGATAATTTTCGTTTGTGTTAATATGTTGATTAGTTTTTACGAAAATATAGCATAGACTACTGCATTTTACCACCTGCACGTTTACAAGGGAGGTATTTCATTGAAATAAAAAATGATCCCACTTTTTGACGGAAACACAGGTTTTGGGGCACCAGGAATCCGAATCCAACAAAATCTCGATGATGTCTGTCTGTCGGTCTGTCTGTACTCTCATTTTTTGCTAAACGGCTAACCCGATTGGAACTAAATTTGATACACATATTCTTAGACCTATAAGGAAGAGCTTTTGGGCAAAATCGCGCATGGGCAGGTAGGCTATTTATAACCACAGCAAATATTTGCTCTACATTAAATAATTTATACCGATCTAAGTATGGCGTAATATGAGTTTTGAACCAGAGCTGGGCAGTATTCGATTTTGTAAATACTTTTTAGTATTCAAATCCTTTAAAGTATTCAAAGACTTTGTAATTAAATACTTTTATGGAAGCAAGCAGTATTTGTTTTCTAACTCAAATACTTTCACAAATATTTAGTATTCGAATATTTCGCAAAGTATTTGGATACTTCGTAAAGTATTCGAATACTTTGCAAGGTATGAATCGACTACTCCAAAATTTTGGTGCGTAGAATCCAAAACAATTCGTACTTTTTCGATTAGATTTTTCAATCAAAAGTTATAGACTAGAAACCAATTTCGAAAGAAAATTCAAAGGGCTGTAAATTTTGAACTAGTAGCCCAATCTAGGAACTGTTTGAAATTATGGATTCTACAAGCCACATTCTATAAGAACATTTTTTTCCGGGTCGATTTGAGACAATTTTTTTGCGGGCCTCAAAAAAAGGCAGTGTATAACCTTCCTTTTTTACCAAAAATCGACTACACCAAAATTTCTCGATCTCGATCTCAGATAATTTTTTTTTCCGGCCTCAAAAAAAGGCAGTACTTTTAAGTTATTCAAATATTTGAGAACAATTTAGAAATGTTTAGGGAAAGTTTCCATTGTCACAAAATCAAATATAAAAATATATACATCTGAATACCGAACTCGATAGTCTACGTAACTTAAAAACAATAGGGACCTTTCTTGTATCCTGAAGACCATGTGTACCAATTTTCAAAGCGATCACACGTTTCTAAACAAGTTATCATGCACACGGACAAACGGATGGTCAGGAATGGATCTGTTTCAAAATCGCTAGGATTAATTTCAGAAAGGCGTACGTATCATGTGCACGACGCTTTGAAAACTGGTACACTTATTCTTAAGGATATAACTGGTATAAGAAAGGTCCTGGTAGGTACCTCCTATATAATAATATAATAATAATAATACTCTTTTACTCCCCTTAAATTTGTATATAACAATAGAAATATAAAAAAAGCTAACCCCATACAAAGTAAATATAACTTGATTTTTTAAGTAGTATTAAGTATCTAGTATACTATTTTAAATTTTTAATGTATTTGAGTGACAAGTAGTTGGATACTTTTTGTTTTTACTGTATCCGAATACTTTTCAAAGTATTCGAATAGGTACTTTTTATAGTATTCTAATACCTTTGATAGTATTAGAATACTTTTGAAAGTACTCGAATACCTGTGAAAGTATTCGTATACTTTTGAAAGTATTCGAATACATTCTAAAGTATTTGAATACTGTTCAATGTATCGGTATCTAGTATTCCCTTGTGCTGGACGTAAAAGTATTTAGTATTCAAATACTTTTTGAAAGTATTCTGTCCAGCTCTTTTTTGAACGAAACGAATACATGAATTTTCCAGTTTTTGTGTTTGTTTTTCCACTTCTGTGTCAATGTATAGTAGTACCTACAATATAAATCGCTACAGTATTCGATGTGTGGATACACTATTGATTGTATTGGTCTTTGAATATAGACTATAATCAAAGGTATTGGTTTAGCTTAAGTACTTCTTGTGGTTAGTACAGATCTTAAATAATGCATGTATTTAAGTTTCATTAAAGCTAAACTGTAGTCTGTAGGACTTTCAAAAGTAACTGCATTATCAAACCGTTCCGCTTAATTTTTTTTAATGTTACTGCATCGCTAATTCCAAATGATGATGATATAGCTGTTAGTCGCCTGCGTACATTAACATATGGTATTGCTGTCTAGTTTATCTCATCTACCAAGTCACTTGTAATACGGGTGGTGACTTGAACAACGCACCATAGGAATTTCAATAGTAATTTTTTCATTTCTGATTATTGGCTTCCCAATCAAACAAAGCTAACTAATGGCAAATGCAGGCGCTTTTATTTGATTTCATAATTCCATGCCATTACCGACTTTATAAACGCACAGTTTTTAATTTTTAAATTTATAAAACAGGAAACAATAGTATGTACCGGATTCGTAATTTTTTCTCTACAAAAACCTAAATAGACTTTATCTCTAAAATAATTAGGGGAGCCAATAATCGGAAATTAAAAAATTACTATTGAAATTCTTATGGTGCGTTCGTCAAGTCACCACCCCGTATATAGAAAATAAAATTGGACCAATACACTTCTCTGAGGAACTCCATTAATTGTAAAACAGGATCCAGGTACATCACTGATACAAATTGTGACCTATACTTATGTCACTATTGAACCATTCTAAGGACTTTTCAGTAACTCCAATTGTCATGAAACTTTGGGGAACGGTGGACCTATGCCCCCAAAGGTTTCGATTTAATAAAACTGCATGAAGTGAGGCGGCATATGTCCCACCCAGGAGCGGAATACTTGGACGAGGTGGGGTGGCACAGCCGCCGAAACCTGCTTTTGTCCCACCCGGGAACGGGATATTGACAGATATTGGCTACGAAGTTCGCCAGGGCCGCTAGTTACGTATATAGCTCATACGCATACACCAAAAAAATAGGCATTTCATATTTTCTGTTTTTTAATCGAAAAGTTGGCATCATTCTTTCTATAAATTTAGCCATTGAGTTTTATACCCGATTGCCAATAAATAGAATACATTGTTAATAGAATCCGGAAGATCTTAAATTGAAAACTTATATTTGTACTAAACATTAGTACTCCATTTACAGTTATCCGTACAAAAGTGTCCCAAGGATGTTTTTCGATTGTACTGGGTTTATCAAATTGTATAGAAATGCGTAGGTAACTTTGATATTCATGAAATGGAAATTAAGTTAAATCGGCAAAGTTTAGCACTCTTGTATGCTAATTATTAATCCGTGTAGATAGTTGCAAATTTGTGTTCGGTTAGCGTTTTTTTCGTTCCTAAGAAGAAGGTTTATAAAACGTCAAATTTTAGTCAATGTTTGAATGATTACCTACCTACCTTAATTTACATCGAATCAACACATTGATTTAAAAATATTTAAGAAT